TAGAAAAGAATTAAAACTTTTGACTTATTTTTTTTTTAAAGCTATTTTTGTCATACAGTTAATTGAGCAAATAGCCTGTGCTTAGATTTTAAGATAGGGAAAAGAGGAACAAAAGACTTTGCAATGATGGAATCTGAATCAAGCTTTTGGGATCACATGGAGTGTACATTGTGTGGAGACAAACAAGAGATCAGGCAGCTACAATGAGCTGTGAGGAAAATTAGGACCAGAAAGAGCAAAGGCCATAATAGTCTAGAAGGAGCCTCCCTGGCCTAGTTGTGTGGTAGGGTAGATGGCAGAGGGAGGGTCACAGAAAAACTATTTGCAGAAAATTGAGCTGAAGGATAATTACTGACTGGTGACCTCATAAAAATCACCATCTCTCTGAACCTTGGTTTCTTATCTCTAAAATGGGAATAATAACAATAGCCTGGAATAACCTATTTTAGTAGGAAATTGTGAGGAATGGATTAATGAATCATTGTTCAACTGGAGCTTTTTTGAACTGTAAAGTGCTCTGTCATTGTAAGGGATGTTAGTGTTTTCAGATATTATCTTCTTTCTGCACATATAGATTTGCCTCCCCCTTGAACAGCAGGAACAGAAGAACAAAACAACAGATTGGGATGGGGAGATTTATACTGTTTACTTTTCTGCTCAGCTTGATTACCTAGGCTCTCAGGGTTATCAGGGGATGGGGAGAGAGTAGGGCAAGTCTGTCAGAACCAAGTGAATCTGTCAGAGAGGGCAGGATTCCCTTGAGGCCTACCTTGTTAGAGCCAAAGTCTTAGTGAATAGTGTAATCCATACCTGTTTATGTGGTGGTGGTGGTGGGGGGGCTGGTGTGGATGGGTGACTTCCATAGGATTTCACTAACATTTCAGAGGCCTCATCTCACCAGAGGTAAAATTGCCCAATTTGTTCCAAGCAGACACGTGTGTATCTGAAGGATTTGTTTGTATATTTAAGAGATTTAGTTATAGTTATGATTATTCATTCTCACCAGGAAATAGTAGTAGCCCAGTGATTCCAAGTATCATTAACTCATTGTTCATTAAGATTTGAATTCCAAGTGCAGGGGCTGGGGTTGTGGCTCAGTGGTAGAGTGCTTGCCTAGCATGTGTGAGGCACTAGGTTTGAACCTCAGCACTGCATATAAAAAAATGAATAAAATAAAAGTCCATCAACAACTAAAAAAAAAAAAATGCAAGTGCAATGTGTACATTTTGCCCAAAGCCCACTCTCCTATAATAATAATTATCATTATTAAATCAAGATTTTGGCACAATTTCATGGCATTTCCTATCCTGCTTCTGATGGTATGAAAACATAATATTTACTAACTTTGAAGCTGGCAATAATGTTGGAATCAGTGACTCTGTACTATTTAAGCAAATCTTTCCTTTTCTGTTCTCCTGTCTGCAAAATAAAGACGATAGATTTGATTTATCTTCCAAGTGCCTTCTAACATCAATATTCCACCCATCTGTAATGTTTGCCTCTCCTTTCCTGCCCCAATTCTCAAATCATAAGAAACTTCCATTTGTTCGTCTTTTATTGAAAATCCAGCTGCCTGAGAAGGCCAGATCTTGTAGACTGGGCTGCTATTTAAATCTCTGTCAGGCCACAGAAACTTTGCTTAAAATCATATTTTGTTAATCCATCATGTGGATGTGGAGCTTGCTATTTTTAATATATGCTCTGCGCAGCCTAGTTATTCATGGCTAAGAGTTTGCCACGAACTTCAGAGCTGAATGTAAAAGCAAACAGCTCCAGAAAAGCAAGATGGAGACTTCTTTCACACACTAATAAAATCTGGGAGTGGAGGAGAGGAGCCAGTTTCTCCTCCTGGTGTGAAACACAGGGAGTTCCTCTGGAATGTTTGACCTCATAGGAGCAAAAGAAGAAACAGCCTACAGTAGTGTTTATTTAGATGGCAGGCTCTTTTTTTTTTTTTTTTTTTTTTTTAGTTATTGAGCAAAACTCTAGAAATGTGCCTTTTGTTACAAGGCTCAGATATTCTCCTGAACATCTTCTAATTGCTGTTTTCTCTTTTTCTCTTCAACTTCCTTTTCATCTCCTTTCCTTCTCAAATATCATATAATATGCACAGGTTAAAATAAAAAGGCATGAAAATTGAAGCATTTTAATTAGACTCAAGAAGAAATACCTACATTTCTACTAACTTGAGTCCTAATGGAAAGCCACTAGATATGTACTTGTAGCCAAACTCACCTGAATACTGACTTTCTGAACTTTGAGCCATGTAACTAATTTATTCATTCAGACATGTTCATTAAAGTCATAAGATGGATTAGAAATTGCATTAAATGCAGTGTTCACAAAGGTGATGARACCCAGTACTTGCTCTTGAGTAGTTCAGAGTCTACTAGGGCCTAGAGATTAAAAAGAAGCCAAGGGTGGTGACACACATCTGAAATCCCAGCTACTTGGGAGGCTGAGGCAGGAGGATTGAATGTTTTAGATCAGCATGGGAAATTTAGCAAAATCCTCTCTCAAAATAGAAAAGAACAAAAGGGCTGAGGATGTGGCTCAGTTGTATAGAGCATTCCTAGCATGTGTGAGGCCCTGGGTTCAACCCCCAGCACTGTGGGGCAGAATGGGAGGAATCCCTCAAGAGATATATCAGGAAATAAGGTCCTGATTGTCTTTCCAAAATTTCAAGTAATGTTTATACCATCTGATCACAGTTCTATAAAAGCCTATGAGAGGTATTTACCATTCAGCTACATTCTCTAAATAAATAGGCTCATTGAGGGTCAATGATTCATAGAATTCTGATCTGGCTAATGGAAAGTAGAACAGACAATGAAGAACAGAAAGACCATTCATTGACTCAGTCACTCAAAACTGCCAAGGCCCAGAGCTAAGGCACAATCAGAGTAATTTCTACTACATACCTGTTTTCTCTCTACGACTATAAATATCACAAAAAAAGGCAGAAACAAGGGAGGGATGATACCTCCTCCCCATATTTTTGGAAATTAACAAAGTGCCTTGACTTGACTTTTTTTTTTTTTTTGTCTAAAGTATTTCTAGTGAGAGTACATAAGTTGGAAGTAAGCTAGAAAACCACTCTGATCCATTGGATAACTGTGCCTCTCTCTGCCAGCTGTCTCACAGATGCCCACCACAGGAAGTAGACCAGTATGTGCAGGAGTTTCAACCACTTGTGTAGCATACACTGCTGCCAAGGAATGATAACATCCTCTCGTGATAAGTCAGTTCCTCATGGCAAGGCTGCAAATGTCAGAGACTTCGAGTACCTTCCTCATCAGTCCATCATCATTTATTTAGGTGCATATATCCTCCTTCTTTCAGAGTAAGTGGGTGAGAAAGCTTATTTTAAAGAGAAGGAAATCAAAAGTAAACTACCAGGTTATACCAAAGTTCTTCACTCTTTACTCGATTCAGTAAACATAGAGGAACTTTGTGCAGGGCTAAATGCCACAGGGAATACAAAGATGAGCAAGATTTTGCCTTCATTTTAAAAGATGTCATGGTCTGAAACTTGCATTAAGAATGAGACAGCAATGCCAAAATTCATCATTGTCATATGAAAGCTTCTGTAAGGGTGCAATGAGAGTTCCAAGGAAGGAAAGGTTGTTATATGTCTTGGGCACTTGTGGGGAAGGGGCTGGCATGTAGAAACTTTCAGATAAAAGGCAGGTATGGAATTGACTGTAGTATAAAGTTGGAAAGGGAGTAAAGAGAAATTCCAAGGGAATGTTGGTGACCAGATCTGTGTTTTGTAAAGATCACCGTGGCAACAATGTACAGAACAGATTGTGGAAAAGGGAATTAAGTTTATAATAATAGTGGAAGTTGACAGAGCTAATCTCTATTAAGCACTTATTATGCCATTCCTTATTCTAAGTGCTTGACCCTTTTTCCCCCTCATATAATCCTTAAAACAATCTGTGATACAGGACTTACTATTTTCATTTTACAAGGGATGTTGTGGCAGAATCTGGACTTTCTTCCAAATCTAACAAAACAATCTGAATTCTTGATTATAAGAACTCAGGTAAGACCTGATCCAAAGCAGAGACTGTGATATAGAGATATGTTTTGGAGAATTAAGGAAGATACCCTTTGTTTCTAAGAGSCAAAGGCCTCCTCAGTGTTTGAAAATCACCTTTCAGATCCCATCTGTCTGATGACTATGACTCAGACTGAACCTGCCTTGTCATGAAAGCCTTACTCCATTTAGGAAAACACGTCCTTTGGTTTATCACTGTCCACCCAGGTTCTAGCATTCTGTCAAAAAAAAAAAAAAAAAAAAAAATAGAATGCTCCAATTCTACGTGTTAAAACAAGAGAATGTTCACCTCTCCATCCCATAGTCATTGGAACCTGGAGCAATTTATTCTATTTCCCCTCCTCCATACTCACCCTCCAGTTTGCTTATCTTTATGTTAGAGCAAGTTGGACCTCATTAACTCATTATATGTTAAACTGAGTAAGTTGTTATCCTGAAAAACTAATTACCTAGGGCAAAGGTAGGCATACTTTCGCGGTTAATAAAAGCGTCCATACCGGGTGGCATTGACACCCCTTTTTTGGATACGCTTAGCCCTATAATTCTTGGTAATCTATGTTAAAAAAAAAAAGAAAGAAAAAGATGGATTTCATATTCCTTAAGGMAGTTTCCTTCACCATCAAAAGGTACTGGAGTTCTTGGGATAGAGATGGCAACGCGGCCCTAGAGATGTCCTCGCCCGGGACACCGCCCTTAAGATGAGCCAAGGAAGACTCCTTTCTCCTTGAATGCGCTTGGCAAGCCCTGCCCCCAAAGGGGGGTGGTGGTGGAGGTGGAGGAAGAATACGTGCGCACCTCGTGCATCTGCCCGAGTACAGATTGGCAAGTGATACAGGCGCGCAGACCTCTGTCATTTATTTATTTCTCTTTCCACCGGGTGCGCTGTCCCTTTAAATGGGGACGCTGGTGCTGGCTCCGTAACACCGGAGCCCGGCAGCTTGTTGATTTCAGAGCTGGTGAATTTCACATTGTTTCCACTTCACTTTCCTTGCCCGGGGGGGAGGCTCCGGCTGGCGCTACGACCGCTGTCGCCGCTGCCAGCGAGAGCTAAGGGAGGACAGGGACCCGCAGCATCGGGGAGGGCTCGGGACCGGAGGAAAAGGTGTCGGGGCCACACACGCACCCTCGCTGCAGTCCAGCTCCTCCCGAAGCCCGGACGCCGGGAGCGCACCGAGCGGGGGACCGCCCGCCTAGACGCCAGCCCGCCCACGGGCCGGGGCCGAGCCCGGGAGCCGGCGAGTGGAGGAGGCCCCGGGGGCGGGGTGGGGGGCGGGGGTGGGTGCCGCCGCCGCCGCGGAGCTGCTGCTCGGCGCGTTTTGCATGAAGATGGCGGCTCCCACCGCCAGCAAGGCAGCCTCCCTGGGCTGTAACAACAAGCCTGCGTTCCCGGAGCTGGATTTCAGGTCGGGAGCTCGGGTGGAGGAATTGAACAAACTCATCCAAGAATTTACGAAGCACGACCAGCGGGAATACGACGACCAGAGAGCGCTGGAGATTCACACAGCCAAGGATTTCATCTTTTCCATGCTGGGTAAGGAGGAAAAAGGGGGAGGTGTGTGTGAGTGTGTGTGTGATGGGAATCGGAGTGGAGTACCCACTCCTCCTCGAGCGCTTGCCTTCTGGGTTTCTTTTCCAGAGCCGGGTGGGTGCCTGGGGGTCACCCATCTGTTCCTCCTCTTCCCTGTTTTTTCTCCGCTGCAAGCCGAACTGGCTCCCCTCCCCTCCTGACTACACTTTGCGCCGGGAGCCCCTTTTCTCCCCCCGTTCGCTGGCTCTTTTGTTAATTTCCCAGTCGCCGGGGGCTGGCAGGCAGGTGAGGCGGTCAAACGCCCCACTGGTGGGAGGAAGCCTTTCTGCGCCGCGCGGTCCAGGTGCGATCAGAGGCTCCTTTCATTTGGGGGTGTCTGGGTCCTCTCCTAAGCTTGGGGCGCAGAAGACAGCTTGGGGCTTTGGCTCCGAGCCCGAGCGACAAGTTGCTTCTCTCGTCTTGCGGCGCGGCGCTGTCACGCCGAGCCCCCGTGGCCAAACTTGTTGGGTGTTCCCGAGTAACCCGCCCAAGTAGTCTGGGCGCCCAGAGTTCCTGCAAGTTTGATTTGCAAGTCGACTTCCCTTCGAAGCCTTCGGAAGCATTTCCGGTGCTTCTCCAGGGTGGTTGCTGGGCTCCGAATCCCTAATTCTCAGCTCGAATTTAACCAGACGCAGCGCTCTGACCGCAGAGGAGCGTGGCCCCCTCCTCTTTGTGTATTGTCCTAGCGCTGGCCAAGAGAGGTGCCCAGTTTCCAATCGAGAGAAACCGGGCGGGTAGAAAATATGCCCCTCACCTACCGGTCCTGAAAGGTTATCGATTGCTGCAGAAGGGAAAGTAATTGAGCCGGGCCTGGGAGACCAAACACCTCCCAAAGCGTCCTGCCTTTGGAATGATTGCTACTGAGTTGAAGAATGAGTGTCCGCTGCTGGGAGCCTCGGTGGTCGCTTTCGGCTCYTACAGTGGAGTCGTGGCTGTCATGCAATACGTGGCTCCGTCGTTGTCATTCTGCAGAACTGGGGCTCCAGCGTAGCGCTGCTCTAACGCGCGTCTCTGTGTGTGTTTTACAAATGTACCCTCAGTCAGTTCCCAGATAGTGGAAAACTTGGCAAAGATCTTTCTACCACCGAGGAAGTCGGAGCCTTTTCCTTCCTCCTGCGATGTAACTTGGATTCCAGCCTGCCCCTGTTGCTGCTTCTATTCCGGGATGTCTTATTCCCTCTAGGTTTCCTTCCTCCCCACAGCCCAAGTGGGGGATAATACAAGTTGAACATTGTCCACTGGTAGTACTAAGGACTTGGGAAGTTGGATAGAACATACTAAAACTTGGGGCTAGTTTTTACCTTTTTTCATATACCTCCCAAGCATATTCTAGATTGTGTATGGGGTKGGAAGGATGTTTACTGGAACTTTCAACTATTGAGCTGAATTACTATATATTTTTTTTAAAACCCATGACCTGGTGGGAGTGAGCTTTCAAAGCAAAGCTTAAAAGGCTTACAAAGCTTCTGCATCTGAAAACCAACATGGTGATTGTCAGGAAGGTGGGGACACACAGAAAGCTCAGGGCAGTTATTTAAGTTGCTTAATCATGGCCTTTCTCTTTGGCATAAGTAACACTAGCTGCTGTTGTGTTATTACAGCCCCCACATCAGTTTTCCTGTCTTTTCCTTCTTATGGGAAAGGTTGTGGGTGGGTCAGAAAAGTCAAGGATGGAGAGATGATGGGGAGGGATAAATTAAATGCCTAACTCTTTAGGAGCTTATGTTAACCTTATGTTTGATACACCAAATTAGCAAAGCTTTTGTCCAAATATAAAGGTTGAATTATTCTAGGATGCCTAATTTATGCATGTGTTTAATGTCATGGGTGGCATTGTATTGACAGGTAAACTAGATTTGCCTCTCCTCCTTTTTTACTCAGTTGACCTTGCAAGAGAAGTCTTTCTTCCTCCTGGCAATTTGATGTTTCCACTCTCGAGAGAGAAAATTCAGGAGTGTCATTTAAGCCCTCGCCCCTCTGGACACTAGAAGGCAGATGGCGAAATGAGCTTGCCCGTGTGTGTTGCTGCATTCATTTTCGAGTTCCTTGCTTTCCTTAATGAGGTGCTGGCTGCTCTAGACAAGTGAAGGTTCAGGCGACAGCAAGGGTCCCTGTGTGGGTTTACTTTTTCTAAAGCAGATTTTCGCTTGGCTTAAGAAACAAAATCTCTTTTTGTACACTTTGTTTTACTTGCTACAGCCTTGGGTCCTTCATGAATATGCAAGTGAGGTGTCTTTTAATGACCCCCAGCTTGTTAAGGTGTCACTTGGGTGGCATCCGGCCCTCATTTCTGGGAGTTGTTGGGAGCCATGTAGTTTGCTTGGCTTTGTTCTGCCTCTGTCTGAGCTGCACCTGAGGATTGTCAGCAGCTTAAGGACATTATCCCCTCACACAGGATAAAATGACCAAAGAATTTGGTACAAGCCTCTTTAAGGGAGCTATGGATAATGCTGCCTCTGGTTTCAGGCAGGTGGAGGTATGGTGGCCAGGCCAGCCACTGTCTGTATGAGATTGTTAGACTGGGTGGAAACCCTTCCAGCTTCTTAGACTCTTTCTTTATGTGTTGTCTAGTTTGCAGGCAGTTTTACAAAGAAGAGCCAAGGGGTGAAACACAGCTCATAATCAATGACCTGTCAGCACTAAGACATTCCAATGTACTGTCAAAGCAGAGATCTGCATAGGCTGTGGGATTGATGGGAGCCCACTGGTGGTCACTGTGTCTCTGTGATCTGGCCTGATGTTTTCTTGTTTGTGCAGATTCAGATTCCTCTGGAGGCAGGTGTTAGCTGAAATCACCCAGACCTACTCCTTATTTCTTTACACCTTGGTCTTTTAGGAGAATGATTGCTGTTATTATCTAGTTAATGTTTGAGAGCCCAGATTGTGTGAGAGGCTGGCAGTGCATAATAAACACCATTTATCAAAATTCAGGGAAATTGCCAGAGTTCATTAATGTTTTAATAATATTTGGTATTTGCATAATGTCTTTGCCGGCTCTTTTGTTATCTTCATTCCCTGGCGAGGTTGGATGGCGACTGGTTGTTTCTATTGAACATTTGTGGAAGAGAGGGCATATGAAAGCCAGAGAAGACAGGAGGGAGACAAGCAGTCACTAAATCTGCAAACTAAGTGGTAGGTACCACACATAGTTATTAGAGTAGCTGTCATTGCTTATTACCTCCTCGAGCTAAGAACATGACATAACCTTTTGAATAGATATTGCTTTCCCATTACACAGATGAAGGTATTGAAGGTTACTGAGGTTAGGAAACATATAAGAGTACATGGTTCATAAATGGTAGAGATTACTAAAACTGTGGTCTGTTGGATGCAAAGACATAATGCGTGATGTTCTTCTACTTGAGGCTGTTTGGACACATGAGCCAGGCACAGTGGCCCATGCCTGTTTGTTATACAAGTGACTCAAGAGGCTGAGGCAGGAGGATTGTAGGTTTGAGGCCAGCTTCAGAAACTTAGCAAAGGCTTTAGCAACTTAGCAAAAACCCTATCTCAAATTAAAAACATAAAAAGGACTAGGGATGTAGCTCAGTGGTAAAGTGTTTGGAAAAAAAAATAATAGTTACATGAATTCCAAAAAAGAGCTTTATTTTATTTTATTTATTTATTTTGTCATGTTGGAGATTGAATAGGTCTTTTTCTCTATCAAGCAAGCATTTACCACCTAGCTATATCCCTAGTTGTGAAGGGGCTTTGTTTTAAAAAACTGCTTTTTTTTTTTTTTAGTATTATGTTTCTGGTTTCAGCTAAAAGTATTAGATTAGCATAATGCAAGCAGCATCTGAAGTGATTTCAGGAGCAGTCTGAGTTCAAGTTTTTTTTTTCCATAAAAAGATCACCTATTTGAATTTTTGATTGAGAAAATCATGATYATTATAATAAAATGTTAAAATCTTCAGTTCCTGTCTCAGTCTGCCTCTGGCTGAATGTGTGGTCTTAGTTTTTTTTGGTTTTGGTACTGGTGATTGAACTCAGTGGAACTTGACCAACCTAGTCCTTTATTTTTTATTTTGAGACAGAGACTTGCTAAGTTGCCCAGGCTGGCCTCAAACTTGGAATCCTCCTGCCTCAGCCTCCTGAGTCGCTGAGATTACAGTAGTGTGCTACCACTTCCGGCTTGGTCTTAGTTTTTTGATTTATTACACATTGCTAATAGTAGTGCATCATTTTAGAATTATGTCTGAAAGTGAAATCACTTTGCTAACTGAAAAGGAATGTTTACATGATCTTAGTATTTATTTAAAGAAATGTGCTTTATTAGAAAACATTGTGAACTTCAGTTGGAATTATTTCTGCAGCTTGACACCCCAAAGAACTATGGAATACCATTAGCGGCAGCCTAGGAGGATATTGGCTGTGGCTGTAGAGGGCGTGATGAATTCCAACAGCATCGCCATTTGTTAAGTTCATGCTATGGGCCGACCACAGTGCTAGCTACTTTGCATAAATCCATTAACTCCTGTAATCTTCTGACAATTTTAAGGATAAGTGTCATCCTACCTATTYTGAAGATGAAGTAGGTGCCCTTTTAATGGCGAAACACTGAATGAGGCTCAAAGAAGTCAAGTATTTACACCAATCATACAGAGCTCGGATTTAGATCCAGGCATTTTCCCCTCAAATGCTCATGTTTCTTTCACTGTATTAGCAATCAGCTTCTATTACTCTTGGGTCAGACAACCCAAAGGCCCCACTTCCCAGGGAATACTCCACCCAGTAGTAGCCCAATTAGCTAGTTGGAACAGGGAGAGTCCCATTCTTGCTCACTGTCAGTCCCAATCTTTCTGCTCCTCTTTCTTTCATGCACTCAACAAATACTTAATGTAATATTGTTTGCCAAGCAGTATATAGGACTCCTGGGATAGTGATCCAGAATGTTGGGATGTTCCCCAGGTCTTAGGAGACCCCTRTCCTTCTCCATTGTATCCTAACTCTAAGAGACTAGT